CCACCACACAGTTGCAACAGCCTAAACCACCGTTGCTAGAACTATCAACACCACATCCAGCAACAAAACGATCGTCTCGAATACCGTAGCCAACATTGCCACCACCACCGCATACCACCACATACCGCACATATCCACTATCGCACGCCGCACAGATTCGGCGCGCACCGTACCACCCACAGCCACCAACATAATCCCCCAAAACCCGCCACCACCATTTGCACTTTCAATACACTACAATCATCCTCCATCCGACCACGACAAAATTGGGAAAAGAAAGAGAAACGAAAAACCTAATTTTTATAACATTGCAACGATCGGCCCTATCGACCGGAACCTCCGCCACCGTTGAATCCAACAAAGGGACCACCACCCAAACACCACCACAACCACCACAACCCCCATCCACCACCAACTGAAAACACACCTAAAAACCACATCAAATCGTAGAGCTGTAGATCCCGGCCATCGTAGGCAGACCAAAGCCACCCAAACACCACCACCACGAGCACCACCACCACAACCCAACCGTGACGCAATCGCGACTTCCAGGAACCAGGTTTCATCGTGAGTTCGCAGCACTGCCCAAAAGTGTCAAACTCTGCCTCCAACATCACCGACTCACCTCTACTTGCACAAAAACCAAAACCACCCCAAACCATCACTACCACCACCACCATAAAAAAAGGATCAATGCCACCACCACACCCCCAAGCATATTCATCATCGCCCTATTGAAAATCACATGCCGCTCTCACATCTCCTTACACAAGATTACGCCGCCGCCACCGCTGCTACTCGTGTCACTGTGGTGTATGCGGTGTCGCACCGACGCTGTAGAGAGAGGAGGGAGAGAGAGGATAGAGAGGTCGAAAGAAGAATGAGTGATTGAGTGAGATAAAATTAGGGCTTAGGTATTAGTTTTAAAATATTATTATTAATATTTAAATGTTTAATTATGTTCTGATTTTTGTAAAAATAAACTATAAATCTGACTTTTGAAATGTTAACTTAAAAAATCTGGTTTTATGTAATTTCCACTTTTAAAAAATTAGGCCCATATTCATAGGCTTGCAGGCTTATGCTTTGATTGTGATTATCCATAGACCTCCTAGAGAAATAATAATTATTTGGGACTTGTTTGTACTTTTTAAAAAAAATTGGGACTATGGTTACAATTAGTTCTTTCTTTTTAAAAAAAAATTAAATAGAAGTGTATATTCATTATTTCACAGCTTTTAATTGAGAAAATGAATGAAAATGACCTTTTGCGCAATGAAAGGTGGAAATAATGATGAAAATACCAAAAAGATAAGGACGTTTTCCACAATAATAGAGAAATATAAAGACGTTATGTGTTAATTACCCTTTTAAATTCATGCCTTGGTGCCACAAGGTATCAATATTTCCTCATTCTTTTTTAGAAAATTAAGGTTGAGCTTTCCGACCTTTAGCGCCGTTGGATAGTTTTTTTTTTTTTTTTAAAGAATGAGTTTTTGAAGAGTAATTTTTTTAAGAATGTGTGGCTAAAAAATAAGAAAATGTTTGGGGTCTGTGCGAAAATATTTTATTATGAAAATGAGTATGAGGAAAAAATTTTTGAAAAAATGATTACCAAACATGAGTTTAGTGTAAAAACGGTTCCTTAATTTTTGAAAGAACTAATAGTAACCATAGTCCCAAATTTTTTTAAGATATGCAAACGAGTCTCAAATAAATTATTATTCCTTTAGAAAGTCTATGGATAATCACAATCAAAGCATCAACCTACGAGCCTATGAATATGGGCCTAATTTTTAAAAAAGCTTAAAAGGCTCACAATTTGAAACAAAAAAAAAAGCCCAAACTCATCTTTCTCATCTCCAAGTTTCCCGATGACTGCAACAATGGTGAGCGGGGGTTGCTTTCAATCTGTAAATTTTGGTGGAGCTAGCATGGGCGGCCACATCAATTCGCCAGTAAACATTTCATTTTGCGATATATCCCTACCTATTGGAAATCGAAGAAAACCCCCATGTTTCAAACATTTTTGTGTGAAAAACACTCCTACCGTCAGCATTCGTCTAGTGTGCCATTAAATACCAGGGAAAATGAGGGAAATTGATAAATAAGAAAGGGCAAATGCGTCAATTTATATTTTCGTCTTTAATAACACCCTCCCAACACAAAGAGTGGGGGTTTTGTGCAAGATGAAACGACACGAAGGTTGAGAGGATTCTGGTTGTAACCCATGTTATACGGTCAGTTCTTTGTTCACCCACAATCGTAAAGATTTCCTCGAGATGTCCTGAAGTCTTAACAACTGACATTCTTCAGCGAATGTGCGACAGTAAGTTGTGGAAGCTGGATTTTATTTTAAAAAAATGCGTGCGTGAAATTTGTGATTTTGTGGAATAATGTATTGAAATTAGTGTTTTTTTGTATGTTTACAGTCTCACTGTGATTATTGGGAATGGAGGCTCCAAGATTCAGAGGGTTTGAAGAAGCGTCTAAGTATGGAAAGTTGCTATGTTTTTGTAATCTAAGAAATAAAATGTTTTGGTTCAAATTTTCTATGTGTTTTGTTGGAATTTCGTTGTAAAAAGCATGTGCATGTTGTTTGATGTGGGTTTTGAACTAATTCATGTACTAACCCTTGTTTACGTTATCATCCAACTGGATACACAGACTACTTCAGAATGGCTATATACACTAGTGGTGTCTTATTTGATAAGCCAAATAATGTCAAGTATGAGCATGGTATGGTGATGTTTGTAGACTGTGTATGGGTTGAATACTTCAATAGAGAATGGTTTCAGGCTCTTGATCACATTTGTGGTGATTGTGGGCCTTTAGAATTTTACTTTAGGATGCAGAAAGGTAAATTGGGTATTGCTTGGAGGAGGTTGCACAGTGAATCGGATGTGAGGGAGATGTTGAAGGACCTTAAAAGGACATAGGTTGATTGAGATTTATGTAGTTGTGCATAGCCAGATAGCAGCTTTAGCTCAAGAATCATACCAAGAACCAGTGCTTGAGGTTTCAGAGAGTAGTGCCAGTAATGAAGGGGGTGAAAGTACCATAGAAGGTTGCTACATCCCAGTGCTTGATGTGGATGAAGTTGGTTTGGGTGATGTGAACATTGGTAACTGTGTACCTGAAAGTGTAGAGGGGGCATGATCACAATTTGAGGAAACACTCATGTACGAAGTTAGAGTTGGTACTTCTCAACATGATCAGCATGAAGAGAACCCTGAGATGGTTGAGGAGGTCCCGGACGATAGAATGGAAAACGACACTGAAGGCTTTGTGAAAAGTGATTACGAGATTGGGGATGACACGAGGTTGGCGACGAAGTTGAGTAGTAAGCTAATTTTGGTTCTGATTTTGGTTTTAGATTGTACGATGGGTAAGAAGTTGGAGATTTAGACACTGACTATGAAGAGTCGGGTAATGACTTGCACAAAACCCCTATCTTCATGTTAGGAGGGTCTTATTAAAGAGGAAAATATAAATTGATGCATTTGCACTTTCTTATTTATCCATTTTCCCTTATTTTTCCTAGGATTTATCGGCACACCAGACGGATGCTGAAGGTAGGGGTGTTTTTCGCACAAAACGTTTGAAATAGAAAGGTTTTCTGCAATTTTCAATAGGTATGGGGTATATTGCAAAATGAAAAGTTTACAGGGGGTATTCTATTATTAACCATAAGGTGTTGTTCACCTAACCTATTTAACATTGTAAGATTGGATGTTTATTTGACAATTAAAATTCAATTTTTTTTGGAAGTGGTAATAATACCATTTCTTCAATTTAAAATAAGGGGGGGGGGGGAAGAAGAATAATATTTTTCTTTTCTTTTCTCTTTTTTATTTGTTTGGTTTTAAATTGAAGTAAGGAGGTTTTATTGAATTTTCAAAGAAAACTCGACTTTTTAAACATGAAACTATCAAACTACCACTTCTTGCTATGGGAAGATTCAATCTCACGGCGTTAAATAGTTTAAAGAGTCAATTCCTCACTTTCAAAGATTGTGAGGCTATCTTCGTACTACCTGAAAGATTGGAGAATTTAGATATATTTTCTCCCCTTGTGATTGAGTTCTAATATTAGCCGTTACAAATATTCAAATCTTTTCCTATTTTTATATGCTTCAATATTCCAGCTTTATTAATAATAGTAATTACATTATTAATCCCATTCGGTTATAATCCCTTAATTTGTCTTAAACCCTGAATTAACTCTACTTACAGATTGAAATTGTCACCATCAAATTGAAGTGCCATTCGAAATTGAGCAATGCTACATTTATCGAAAATGGTTGATAAACACTTTGACCGAACACTCACAATAGGGGGAGGCCCACATTTTGTTGGAATTTTTTATTCACGCGTGGCCCGCACGCATGTGAGAGATTGTCAAACTCGTTGTCATCCATTTTCGATACAAATGGAAAAACTTTTCGAAATTACAGCTCAACTTTTTCTCTTTCCTTTTTCTGTCAACATCGCCAGACTCTGATTTTGTTCTCTCTCACAATCTCAGTCAAAATGCAGCTTTCGTTATTATTAATTAATTTTCATTGTATTTAAACACAGCCTACAAAGAGGGAACAAATGGATGTTTTTCAGGCACATTCACTCCACTTTCAGATGTTCTTTTTGCTGTGAAGTTGGTGTCCCATTTTGGGTATTTCACAGTGGAGTTCAGAGCTATTCCTTTCATGTTCTGATAATCTGTACCATTTGAGATTAAGGTAAAAGAAATTATATGGGCTTTCGGTTTTCTTGATTATGAAATAGCTGAATATTTATGTTTGATTTTTTTTGTTAGCTTTTTCCTTATTGAGTTATTCTCTTCTATTGTTCTATGTTTGTGAAACTAATTTGGGAATCTTGAAAGATGTACTAAATTGAGTGTAGTTAACCCACTTGGAAATTTCTTATTTGGGTTTAGGCTGATCCATACAGGTATACATTGTGAAAAGCTTCAATTTTGTATTTTTATTTTTGGAGTCCATGAAATGGAGACGATTACAAGATGGGATAATTTTAGCAGACAGGTATAGTCAATAGTTCAACGAGTCATTATGTTTCCATAGAAATATTGGTGGACAAATCTTTGTGGTTATAAAAAGCATATATGTCAAAAATGATATAAACCACTTATGGCAGGTTAAAGATATGAATGTCGTCTTATTTTCCAAATCTCATTTGATGGAGAATCGAGCTCCAATACGTTATAGTTGGTCTCTGTGTGACTATAATCTAGCTCCAAATACGCGCCATCCTGCAATCTAATACAAATTAAAATTAACTTTTCTCCCTGGTATGAAGATGAATATAATTGTCACTACTATCACGGTTACTTTATTTACCTTTTGGCATTCAAGTTGTTATTTTGATTGTGCTCATAATTTGTTTTACGACTTGTATATAAATGGAAATAGAACTCTATATTGTGCAAATGTAAACAGAACTGAGTAAAAAGAACTTACCGCAAGTTTTCTCAATCATTTTATTATAGCTTTTGTGCTCCCATTTAGATTCTCATTGATTATGTGCAGTTATTTTTGTCTGAATTTCAACTGCAGGCCGGAATTGGGTATTGAGCAGTTCCTAGTTTCACCTTTGAACATGAAATTAAGATTGAATAATGGCTGGCACTCCATTGTGCCTCTTCATGTTCAAGGAGAATCAGCAAATAACTTTAGCATGTTTCCTAAAGTAAATTCGGCAAGTGAAAGCCCCGGACACTTTCCTGTTTATCTCAATGTATATGACTTGACTGCGGTAAATGGTTATTTCTACTGGGCTGGCATTGGTGTCTTCCATTCCGGGGTGGAAGGTAGGTTTCGCTCTCAATTATCAAACATGGTTTTGTCGGTCTTTTGATCTCCAACTTTTGTTCCGTAAGAACGAGATTTCATTAAATAAATATTATGTTACTGGCTCAACTAGATCCTAACCTCTGTTAGGGGTTAAGCCCTATTTTCTAGGAGCTTCAAAACAGAAATAAAATAAAAAAATAGGCAAAGCCAACATGTATATTTGTAGTGTTTCACCCTCAATGTTAGAGTTGCATCCACTTGCTGCTCTGGTTTTTTACTATAATGGAGAGAACGAGCACGTGTTTTCTCACTCTTCTCATGCACCAAAAAGATCCCCTAAATAGTTATTTTATACATGTACGGATTACCCAATGCACCCCTTGAAACTATTTGCCCACTTGCCCAATATTAGGTCGAGTTCCAGTTGAGGAGATATGTGTAGCGTATGACAACACTCCACAGTAAATCTTATTTATTTGAGTTGTATTTGTACTGTCATGTTAAATAGAGGTAGTGCTGTAAAACATTATAGATGATATCTGTTCGACAGAAAATTTGTATGTTGGTTGAGATAGTTGTTTGTTGAAGTTAAACACATATTATTAAATTTATCCTCGAAGGCTCAAACTTGTAGAAGGAATACTAAGGAAATTGCACAGGCCAATTCAGACAGCTGTCATCATTGTCAGCAGATCATCAAATGGCACACATAACCTGTACTAAACTTCACAACTTTTTCCCTTAATTTTCCCAACCCCCTCGAAGCCCATATATGGGAGGAAAATTATTAGACCAGAAGTTCCCTAGCACTTCTTGCCCTCTTTGAATGTGAATATTTGAGTTTTCTTCCAATTTTTTACAGTGTGCGCCAAAACAAGAACAAGCAAATTTTTACGTTGTTGTCAAGGAAAATTTTATTAAAAAACTATGAATCTTTTGATTTTGTAACCTTGATTATATAGTTATTGAATTATAGTTAATAGGAGATGCATGTATGATGTAATCTTACCATATATACATACACTTGAATTCACTTGAGACTTTCGAATTGGTATCTTGCTTGGTGCTTAGTCCTGTGATAGAAACAATCAAAGATGTTAAAACTTTATCCACTTTTTCTTTTACTACTATAAACCACTTCTGAATTTTATTAGTGCATGGCGTTGAATATGCTTTTGGAGCCCATGACTATCCTACAAGTGGCGTCTTTGAGATTGAACCAGGGCAATGCCCTGGTTTCAAATTCAGAAAGTCAATTTTGATGGGCACGACATATTTGAATCCTAGCGAAATTAAAGAATTCATGGAGCGCCAAGCTGAAACCTACTACGGCGATACATATCACTTGATTATGAAGAACTGCAATCACTTCTGTGAGGACATATGCTACAAGTTGACAGGAAACCGGATCCCAAAATGGGTGAATCGGCTGGCTAAAACAGGTGTCTAATCTTCATCTTACTGCAATATTTACTGTTCTTAATGATGCTTTTGTTTCTATCATCAAATGATGCTCAATCATTTGTGCGGTTCTGACCCAAAATTTCTCATACTTAATCTGCACCACATAAAGAAGCCAGTGATGCATTTCATTTGAAATATCAATTCAGATTCATGGAAGTTTTGTTCTGTAATAAGATTTCCTTTTAACAATACGGTTTCGTTCTCTCTTTTGTTCTTGTAGGTTCATTCTACAACTGTATTCTTCCTGATGCCCTTAAAACATCTACAGTGCAACATGGTGCAAATTCTCAAGACTTTGGCCGCGAGAAGAAGAGTCGACGAAGCTCTTTTGGCTGCTGCTCGTTGATTTCCATTCTCTGCAAAGAGAAAGAAGTGTCTATATCTTCACTGTTCTTACACTCCCACTATAAAGGCTGCCTACCTCCGTGGGAGTTGAAAACATCTGCCAGGAAATCTTTCAAGGAGGGATGAAAATAGCATTTCATGGATTTTACAGGACATATTTTCGTGTGGATTCCTATAGCGTTGTCACAACCAGATTCTGACTTTAGTCATCCATTAGCCCTTGCTAGGTAAAACATTTGCAAGGTTCTTGTGTTTGATTATACAGAGTACCAGTCCTCAGTTATTTGGCTTTGGCTTTTCTGTGTCTATGGTGATGTCTGTATTCTAATTGATGCTGTGTTTCAGTTTACAGCGAACTGTATCTTTGATAATTCAAAGTATACAGAGAGTTTTAATGTCAATTCTATACTGATATTATACCTAAATATCAAAATGTCAAGGCTTAGTCGGTAAAAAGGAGTTGATCAAGCTCTTTTGGCTGCTTCTCTCAATTTCAATTCCCTGAAAAGAGAGAGAGGTGTTTATATCTTTAAACAATAAAGATAATATTCAAAATGTAATACTTTTTTTACAATTGTTTCTTACGACTTCTCGTACTTTGAAAACGCCGTATAATAGTCTCGTTAGTAATTTCATTAAATACATATTTTTCAACGTACACAACTAAACTATCATTCATCCATTGGTCTCCAATCTGATTACGTAGTCAATTTTTCATAATATTCATAGCCGGAAATACTCTTTCAACTGTAGTAGTAGCAACCGGAAGAGTTAATCCTAAAGTCACAAGCATGTAAACTAACGGATACACTTTATTTCTTTTGGTCACAACCAACTTCAATGCAAGTTCACTAAGTCCCTTCATTTCTCCAAACTCCTTGTTAGAGCACATATCAACAATATAGTTTCGAAAATGATCACCAAGTGCCATGAGATCTACTTTTGAAAAATCTTTAGGATAATACTTAGCAAAACGAATTAATTTATCCTTGTCAAAGGCGAAGAATGAATCATCAAGTCATAAACATGCTAAACAAAGGAGTAACTACGTACTTATCTCAGAAAAACGATCATTCGATTCTTGAAGTTGCATATCAATGACAGATTAATATAAATCCACACGGAAGCCATGAAATTTGTCATTTCTTCAGTATTACGCCTTGAGCGACCTGGGCGTACAAACACACTATCCAAATCAGGAACATCAATATTATGATGTTGACAAAAAGAAATGACTTCATCCAAAAAAGAATATCACTCATTGTCCCTCATCTCTTGGAGTCCCTGTTTGCATATGACACTAAACTCATGGCATTTATAATATCCTGATCTTTTCTTTGTAATGCCTTAGACAATTCATTTGAAATCCCTAAGATGGTTCTCATGAGATGTAGATTAAACACAAACTCAAAGGACTGCATTGAGTCCAATAAATTATCAGCCTCGCATCTTTAGTCACGTGTTGATCCATCAACCGAAATCATTTCAATGACATCAATTATAGGTGAGAACATCAAAATCAAACTAATCAAAGTACAATAATGCAATCCCCAACGTGTCTAACCAAAACGCACAATAGTACTTTGTTGATTAAGACCCCGTCCACTTGAAATCTCACCATTACTAGGGGTGGGCGCGGGTCGGTTCGGTTCGATTCGATTTTTTTCGGTTCCAGAAATTTTCGGGTATTTAGTAAATGGAACCATCGATTCCAAATATAATTTTGGAACCGTTCGGTTTCGATTCGGTTCGGTTCGGTTCGATTCTGTTCGGTTCCGTTCAGTTCCGTACTATAATTAAATTTTTTAACATTTAAAATAATACTACATAAATACACCTGAAAGTGGATATCAATATTAATAACAAAAAGTAGATACAAATATCAAGTTCAATCTTAACTTTTACAAATTAACGTAATCTAATTTAATAACATATAAATAATAAGTTGTCAAATACAAATACCAAAAAGTAAATATTACTAATAAAACTTCGATATTCATATCAATAATTCATTTGTTTCAAACCTTCGAGTCTACATAAAAGTGAAATATAAATTAGAAGTCACAAAGATAAAATATTTTAAAGTATTGATAATACTTACCAACTATTTAATGTAATCATCAGTTGGTTGACTTTCCATACTAACTACTAAGAAATTATACAAGAAAAAATTGAAAAAAACACAACTAACAAACATAAATAAACTCTAAATTGTTCAACTAATAAGATTTAATAAGAAAAAAATTATTAATTTGTTTAGAAAAAATAAAAGAAATTGATTTATCCAATATATAAAAAGAAAATCGGTTCTTATTCGGTTTTTCGGTTCTTGGTCGAGAACCGAGAACCGAACCAAACCATTCGGTTCTCAATTCGAATACCCGTTCGGGTATTTCATTTTAAAAAACCCGCTCGATTCGGTTCGGTTCCGGTTCGGTTCGGACATTTTGCCCAGCCCTGACCATTACTGAGTGCTTCAGAAATTATGGCTTCTTGTTTCTTTAGAAGAATATCACAACGTTTAGAAGAAGCTCCAACAATATTCACCACTCTAGAAACCAAATTAAAGAGTGACTCTTGTGCTTCTTTGCTATGGCTACAAGAGCTAATTGTAGTTGATGAGCAAAACAATGAATAAAAAGGCACTTGGATTCTCTTTCAAAATAAGTGTTTTCAGACCATTGAACTCACCTTGCATATTACTCGCTCCATCATAACATTGACCTCTCAATCTAGATATACTCAACCCATATCTTGAAAATAATTTATCTATAGCCACTTTGAGTGATAGGGCTATAGTACTGGAAACATGTTCAATCCCAATAAAACGTTCAACCACATGTCCCGTCTTATCCACATAACGTAAAACAACAGATATTTGCTCTTTCATTGAGATATCTTGAGATTTATCAACTAAAAATTGAAAAGAATGTATCTTGAGATTCAAACGAATTCGATATATACTCCGAGCTTGTTTTGACTGCTTGAAGAAAAGTGTCTTAATATGTTGCTCTTGATTCATTAAGGCTTCACAGTTGCTTCGGGCATGATTGTGTGCACTATGGACGTCTCCAACATGAACTCCAAGTCTATCCTTCTTTTTAAAATTTTGGAACTCTTCTTTCACAAAAGCATCACCACCTCCTTGTTCTCCATTGTTTGGTCCGAAAAGATAGCAATATAAGCAAAATGTAGCATTCTTACTTATACTGTATTCTAACCAATCACCATGTTCATTGAACCAAGCAGGAATCGCCTCAATTTTGTATTTGGAAACACATGGCTCCGAGGCTGACACGGACCTCTCTGGAAGTATGCTCTTCTTATTTAATCTTGAAGATTAACATTGTAATCCATTATTGGAGTTCTTAATCCAGGATCTGTGGGAAGTTGTGCAATATCAATATGCTCAATACTTGCTTCCTTTGCTTCATCATTCTCTTGGGGAAAACGAGTGTCATCAATACTTGCTTCATAATCTTCTTCATTCTCTTAGAGAAAACGAGTGTCATCAATACTTGCTTCATTTGCTTCATCATTTTCTCCAATAGTAGCATCTTCAACCTTTGATTCCTTTGTCTCGACATTTTCTTCAATAGAAATTTCATCAATGCGTTGTTTCTTTGCCTCGACATTTTCTTCAATAGAATTTTGAGATATTTGTTTAAAAAATCTCAACATATCTTCCTACAAATCAAACAAAGAATGCATAAATATACCATTAGTGAAATGGCAAAGGTAAGATAACAATGCTGATCATTAGTCATTAGTAGCTTCAATTTATTTTCCCACAACTGGATTTCAATGGCATGAATATTATACAAATACACTAAGGTTATCTACTTATCTAGCTTCCTGCTTCCTTCAGGCTTCATCAATGAGGAAAACATGTAAAATCTACTTTCTTTTTATAAATCCACTTGCAAAAGACAATAGATAAGGCTCCACTCCACAACTTCACACCATAGTCATTACTCATTACTCACATTCACCTGAACACTGTCCTCCTCAGTCCTCACTTATGCATACTGAAGGAGAATCCCCCGCTCAACCTTCTTAATAAAGCCAATCACAATTCACAACCCTTGTTTTTCTTAAAATCTAAATTCTATTAAAAGTTCATCAACATTTATCATGTCTACAGTAACAGAACTTGACCTCAACCAGCAAAGCTCGCAAAAGTTTGCTTCATGTCCAATATTCCTTTTATCGATATCAATTTCAGATTAAGTACAAATAGAAATTTAAAACATATTCTGCTCGAACTATTCAAGAAACTTGCACTAAATAAATTATACCTCATGTCTAAGTTCTAACTGTCAGTCTCGGACTCTCGTGAATTGATACAGGGGAAAAATGAATTGAGCAGCAGCAGCAGCCGATTCTGAACTCCGAAGGTCGCCAAAGGATTGACTTGTACTGCGAAGTACGATCACTCGCAGGGAAGAATCATGCCAGCCGCTATCTTCAGTCGGGAGAATTTGAGGAATTGAAAATGATTGCAATTGGGAATGAGATGGAGGAATTGGGGGAAATGGAAAGGAATTGGGGGAAATGGGAAAGAAAATTGGGCTTTAATCACTAGACGGGCTTGGGTTGGGTGGTTGGGTGGGCTTTTGTTTTTTTTTTTATGGCCCAATGGGCGATAGAAGGCCATTTTTTTTTTTTTGACTGTTCATTTTTGTCACGTGAGTTTTCACATTGTAACTGGTTTTTCTACAGTACAACCGACTATAAAATATCATGTTTGTTTCATGCATATATAAGGTATTGCAGTGATTCTTTCTTGTAATAACTTTCTCACAAATCGCGACAATTTTTTTCGCATTCCTCTGTACTTCGTCATCTCCGGCTCCAATTTGTGGTGTGTGAACTCTAACCTGAAGATCTGTTATATAGCATTTCTTCCTGCTACTTTTTTTTATGTTTGATAATTTGATTATTGTAAATAGCTAAATTAATTAGTAAAATTTCCATTGAAACAAATTGGTCAGTCCTTGCCTAGAAATGAAAATGGAGATGATGTGTTTTGGAAACAAATAGCAGAAGAGGTACATAAAGATGCAGACAAACTCTTCAAAATGATTGGGAAGGCATATGCAGTACTTTCAAACCCTACAAAAGTG